GGCTTTGAAGTAAGCCTAAAAGCGTTTAACTAGAAATAGTATTTCGAAAGTTATTAAGCACAAAAGATGAATTGCGTTTATTTTGATACACCCTGTATATGATTAATAATATGAATCAGTTGGAAAAATAGTTTTCGTCATGCGCAATATCTTTTAAGTGCGTAACTACGTCACTTCCGTCACCACTTGTTGCGGTGCACTTTGAAACAAAATAATTTCGGTTTAATAACCGTTTCTTAAAATTTCCTTGTACAGGTATGCTAAGTATACCATATCTAAACTGTATACAAAAAATAAAAGGTTTTGCTTCAGAAACACGCCAGTTATATCCATTCGAAATATTTCACGATCGGGGGTTTCATCCCTATCTATTATTTGTACGTGTAAGCAAAGTCAATCGTTCTAGTATGAGCCCACGCTACTATGGTCAGTCCTTGTAATACAATGTTTGAATTACATGAAGTAGTAGGCATGATATTATCGAAAATCAACATAATTTTCATCGTGATGAAACCTGGATGAAACTATGCGATATATTGATTGATGACAAGGTATTTTAAATAAACACAATCGTACTTTTCTGCCACCTGTGCATAAACATTCAACTTAGATGTTTATGCCGTTGAATATGTTCGGCAAAAACTTTCAACTTAGATGTTTATGCCGTTGAATACGTTCGGCATAAACATCCAAGTTAGATGTTTATGCCGTTGAATATGTTCGGCATAAACACTCAACTTAGATGTTTATGCCGTTGAATACGTTCGGCATAAACATTCAACTTGAATGGTTATGCTGTTGACTATCTTCGGCATGACCATTCACATTGGATGGTTATGCCGTTGGCTATCTTCGGCATAACCATTCAACTTGGATGGTTATAGCGTTGACTGTGTTAGGCCTAATCACTCAACTTGGATGGTTATGCTGTTTACTGTCTTAGCATAACCATTCAATTTGGATGATTATGCCGTTGACTGTTTTCGTGATAACCACTCAACTTTAATTGATGTTTATGCCGTTGAATATGTTCGGCATAAACATTCTATACTTAGATGTTTATGGCGTTGGATATGTTCGGCATAAACATTCAACTTAGATATTTATGGCGTTGAATGTGTTCGGCATAAACATTCAACTTAGATGTTTATGGCGTTGAATATGTTCGGCATAAACATTCAACTTAGATGTCTATGCCGTTGAATATGTTCGGCATAAACATTCAACTTAGATGTTTATGCCGTTGAATACGTTCGGCATGAACATCCAAGTTAGATGTTTATGCCGTTGAATACGTTCGGCATAAACATTCAACTTGAATGGTTATGCTGTTGACTGTCTTCGGCATAACCACTCAACTTGAATGGTTATGCCGTAGACTGTCTTCTGTATAACCATTCAACTTGGATGGTTCTTGCCGGTGATTGTCTTTGTGATAACCACTTGTGATGTACGGGTCAGAGACGAGGGACTGGGGAGAAATTCAAGGCGGCGTGACTGAGTGAAAGCTTAAATTGTATATTGTATTAAGATTGAATAAAACCGTTGAGTTAGAGAATATTATATTGGCGACGATGACTAAAATTGCAACAACATTTTACTCTGGAAACATTATATTGATATGGGATACGATGCACGTTGGATTAGTGTTTTTATCACGTTTGAAATTCAGAAATTGAAATCGATAAAATTTTGGGAATAATCCAATATGGCGACTTCATTGGATTTGTCAGGTTTGCGAAATTTTGATCCGTATTCGGATCCAACTACATTATTTTTACGATGGAAAGAATGGTTACGGCGGTATACGAACGGTTTCTGGTTGCTATGGATATAAGAGATGATATTCGGAAACGTGCTCTAATGCTATATGCAGCGGGAAACGAAGTAGAAAAAAATTTTGCAACGTTGTCTGAGGTAGGGGAAGAAAAAGATTACAAGAAAGCGGTTGAAAAGCTGAACGAGTATTTTTTACCTAAGAAAAATGTGTTACTTGAAACCCATCAATTTCGCCAGTTAAAACAAATAACTGAGGAAACAATTGATCAATATTGTACCAGGCTTAGACAACAAGCCATCATCTGTGAATTCTCTAACAGTGAAAATGAGCTTAAAATCCAGCTTGTTGAAGGATGTTTATCATCGCGAGTGAGAAGAAAAGCCATTCAGGATGATTTATCATTAGCAAACATATTAGCATATGCAAGATCACTTGAAATAACAGATAAAGCTGTCAAAACATTAGAAGAAGATTGTGGGCATTTAGCTCCCTCCTCGAGTGCGGTTAATGCTATACATAACCAACAAGACAAGTCCAGTCAGTATCATGAACAAACGAACAGACAGCCACATCAATCAGCAACCCAGTATCCTACAAGAAATCGATACTCCTACCCACTCAAGAATGCGGGCCGAGAAAATTCACGTGAGCAGCAACAGAATGGTAAGAAACTATGTTATAATTGTGGGGAAAATTATTATGCAGGTCATCTTAGTGTGTGTAAAGCAAAGGGAAAATCTTGTTTTTCATGTGGAAAACAAAATCATTTCACGACTATGTGCCGTAGTCGTCAAAGGAACAATATTCCAGAAAAAGGGGAGAACATTCAAGCCATTAATTGTACTGAAAAGCAATCAAATTCCTCTGATGAAGATTCATATGTTTTTGTTGTTACCCCACCAGTAGAAAATGAGGTTTCCCCAAATTCACGAG